AGAGAGAGAGAGAGAAAGAGAGAAAGAGAGAAAGAGAGAGGAGAGAGAGACGGAGAGAAAGAGAGAAAGAGAGAAAGAGAGACGGAGAGACGGAGAGACGGAGAGACGGAGAGACGGAGAGACGGAGAACGGAGAGACGGAGAGACGGGAGAGACGGAGAGACGGAGAGACGGAGAGACGGAGAGACGGAGAGACGGAGAGACGGAGAGACGGAGACGAGAGACGAGAGACGGAGAGACGGAGACAGAGAGACAGAGACAGAGACAGAGACAGAGACAGAGACAGAGACAGACAGAGACAGAGACAGAGACAGAGAGAGACAGAGACAGAGACAGAGACAGAGACAGAGACAGACAGAGACAGAGACAGAGACAGAGACAGAGACAGAGACAGAGAAGAGAGATAGAGATAGATAGAGATAGATAGAGAGAGAGAGAGAGAGAAAGAACCTGTCTCAAGTATTTTCTGTCCTTGTATATTATCTCTTCCCTCTCGCTCTCTTCCTCTGAATCATAACAAAATGACAAACAAATCATGCCAAACACAGTATACAAACAAGCATCACAAAACGAACACAAAACACACATTTCAGTAGAAAAGCAGATTTATTTTATTTCGTCACATTTTGCCGGTTAGTTCTGCCAATAAAACTGCATTAACCTTTCTTAACCTTATTTAATGACTCCGTGACGGTTGCTTATCGTAAATTCTACAATCAGTCAAGGAATCGTTGTGTTTCTTTCGATATCCAATGATAATCTTAAGATAGATTAACTCGACCAAGATAACAAGTGGTTATAATATCGACGATTGGGTGAGTTATATATACTTATTTTTTTTTAATCTAATTCACTTGGGATACTGTTTATCGTTAATATATATATTTTTTTTCATCTGCATTAGCAAGATTATTCACTTCTTTAAAAATTGGGGAGAAATTGCTTTCACGAAAGCATTTCACGGCGAGTAGGATGAAAGCGCTCTCCCTCCTTTTTTTTCAAAAGTTTATAAATACCCCCAATGTCATAACTGTCACTCCTCCATACCCATACCCACGCCTCCACCAACTGCCGAAAAAAACACAGAAACCTCAACATTACCGTGAAGGACGATATGGACAATGGTATAAAAAAAATCCTTTTCCGAGAGCTTCACTGGCCCCCTCCGACGAAGCCACTGGCACCACGAGACAGATCTGCAACCTTGTTCACAACTGGCAGCAGCAGCATCTTCCCCCCTGTGCCTCTTGGGGGCGGCTGAGAGGCGAAGGCAGTGGTGTCGACTTTCGCTTCCCAAATTTACTTCTCCCCTATTTTCCTGCGGTTCCTTCGCTTTCCATCCCCGTTGTTTTGGTTTGTGGGGGATCGGAGCCTCTCAAGGAGTGCGGGCGAAATGGTTTTGTCGGATGGGATTCTCTTTGGGAGAAGGATTTGGGGGTTTGTTGGTCTTGTGATGGGGTTGATTCGGGTTGGGGAATCTCTCTCTCTCTCTCTCTCTCTCTCTCTCTCTCTCTTCTCTCTCTCTCTCTCTCTCTCTCTCTCTCTCTCTCTCTCTCTCTCTCGCTCTCTCTCTCTCTCTCTCTCTCTCTCTCTCTCTCTCTCTCTCTCTCTCTCTCTCTCCTCTCTCTCCATCTCTCCATCTCCCATCTCCATCTCCCTTCCTCCCTTCCTCCCTCCCTCCCTCCTTCCCTCCTCCTCTCTCTCTCTCTCTCTCTCTATTTATCTATCTATCCATCTCTATCTATCTATCTATGTTTATTTTCTCTCTGTCTTTCTAACTAACCATACATTGACATATTTTGAGTGTATTTGTATGTATATATTTACACACACACACATATATGTGTATATGTGCGTATGTATCCACATGTATATATATATATATATATATATATATATATATATATATATATATATATATATATATATATATATATATGAGGGGGACACCTTTGGTCATCATTCCTCTCTCCTCTCTATCTCCCCTCTCCTCTCCCGCAATTTCTGTAGCAGTGAAGCTTAGTGAGCTCCTATGTTTATGGCTTCTTTTGCCAGCTACTTGGTGCAGCGGTAGCGTTCTCGTCTAGCAACTTGCTGACCTGCGTTCAATTCCTCGCACTGCCAGTGGACGGTAACCCCGGGTATTCTTTACACACGGGTAGTTTAAAAGCACCATGAAAAGACCAGCCACAATTTGGCTGAGAGCACAAGAGCCTATCATGGCAAACCTTAAATCATTATCAATATTATTATCACTACATGCTGGTCCCTAAAGACTGTGAACATGACTGCCTACCGAGGCTGTGACACGTGTCTTTGTGGGGGTTAGTCAAAGCGCTCCCATTGCTTTGACTGGGCCTTGGTTTCTGAATCATGGTGATCGACCCAAGTTTAATTCTCGTTTTCTTGGTACATGGCTAAAAGACCCTTGAAACAATGGACTCGTTCCTGCTTCTGGACAGGCGTGAGTTGCCTGGGTACCCATCGATCTTTTGCATACG